AATATCTGACATATCATCTAACATTGAACATTTAAAATATAAAAGATTTTTTGTTGCTGCTTCAATTATTTTAACAGCGAAAGGAATAAAAAATTGACGATTATGATCGTAATTAATGATTATAAGTTTTTGTAAATTTGGAAATTCAGGTTTCCAAGGATTTGAAGTGAAATCGAGAGTTCCCACACAGCTTCGAATTTCTAAAGTTTTTAAATTAAAACATGATACCCACGAATTAATCGTGTCTAAATTAACACGATATAAATTGAGTTTCTTTAGAGAATTTGATTGACTCGATAAAGATTTAAAAATAATAGAACAATAATCATCACCGAACGCATGGAGAAGTTTAAGATGTTGTAATGACTTTTGTTTTTGAATAAGGCTCGCTAATGCCAAAGCCTTTGCTTTATAATTTACACACTCTGCAATAATGTATTGCAGAGTAGTAGTAAATGTTGCAATCTTTTCCATAAAGATAGTTTCATCTTTCCATGAAGCTATTTGAAGCATCTTGAATCTTTGTAAATTTAGAGAATTTTGATTTATGGACAGCGTTTGAGCATTTTCATTAAGATGAATGAAATAGATCTTTTCTGCTTGTTCTAAAAAATAGGAAACAAATATTTCATTTAAAAATTCTATATTATCTTTGTTATTATCTTTGTTATTATTATTTAACCATGTCTTTGACATGTTTTTTAATAAGTTTTAAGTCTATGGTTTTGAGAAAATAGGGATAATCAAAAGTAGAAGTTTTTTCATTTGGTAAAGGAATATTTTTATTTTTTAGACATTTTATTTGTTTTTCAGGAAGACAACGTAAATAAGATGTAACAAGAGGTAACAGGGACTTTTCTGAGGGGTTCGGCGATCTCCAAAGTATTGGGACCGCAGTTTTGCTCCATGTTCTATTAACAAGAATACATGAGAATAAAGAATCAGCATTTTCAAAAATTTCTTTTAATAATTCAATACATAATAAATTAATCGGCATGTTTTTTAAGTGGGGAACGCACAATTTATGAATTATTATTTATATTAAATTCTAATTAAACAGGTGATTTTCAAGATAAAGTTATCGAAATATTAACGTTAATGAATATTAATAATGATATATTAATAATAATGAATATTAATGAATATTAATGTTAGGGTTTTTTTTTTTGCTATCACATGGGTTATATGGATTATTAGAAGTACGAAAATTTTAAAATACGCCTATTATCATTACATTACATATATATTATATATATATATTATATATTATATATTATGTATATTATGGAGTACATTGTACATCATGTACAGCATAGTCAAAATAACTATATTTTAACGGCACAAACCTGTTCATGATAAAAATATTTATTTTTTGTGTTTTTAATATCACGTTTTTTCACAATACACAGACTCATTTTTCAGGATGACCAGGTTTTGGGCGTCGCAAAATTCTGAATTATTTTGTTTGATATTGTTTTTTCAAATATATACATATATATATATTAAGTATAACATGTTACTGTTAACGTTAATATCAGCGCGACGCCAATTACTAATGTGTATTTCTTTGGGTGAATGAGGTTCATTTCGGTTCCATAAAAAGTTAAGACTATCTGCTGAAAATTTTGTTGACACTTTAACCATTTATGCATTTTCTTGACCAGGAAAAATGGGTTGATGAGATAATCATTCGCATTGACTTTAGAACGTTCTGATCACTTTTGATACTGATTAACGATAGAATGGAAATCTCATTTAAATGATTTTCTTTCGAATTTGTCGATCACACTTTACAGAAATTTGAACAAGTTTAAGCAAGTTTAGACAAGTTTGAACTTGGTCGGTCAACCAAAAAAAGCCTATGCATCTCGGTAAAAAACTGTACGTTCGGATACAAGTACAGTATGCATGAACATGAATAACAATGAACACGAAGGATGTGTTTTTTTTCTAGATTAAATTAATTTTTAACTGGAATTCGTTTGTCCTACGTTACTCCATCAATACCATTACAGTACGTATTACTGGTAATAACATTCTACGTATATAATAATTATAATAATTATAATAATAATAATTATAGAATCCCTTCCCACAGCCAGGCGCAAGCTTTAATGGTTTTTTTAATACTAAATTATTTCGATGGGAAAGTTCCTCTTCATAAAGAAATTCAATACTATGATCGAAAAGGAAATTGCTAATCTAGTTTAAGAAAATCGAAAAAGAAAAAATTTGTAACACATTTGAAAATGGTCACATAATTTATATTATTTCATTATTTCATTATTAATTTTCTATATATGTAATATATGTATAGAATGTAAATGTAAAAAATGATCTAACAACCTCTTCAAAAAATTTTCGATTCGTAAATTAGATACGGAAATTGAAATTAAAGTTACCATCCTTACCATCCTTACTATCGGTGAAAGTTATGGTAAAAGGATTAATCTCTAAATTCTACATTGATGCTGGATATCAGCATAGAAGAAAATTAAAGCGAAAATATTTGTTATATTCTTGGAAGGAAATGCCAAGAAAGTTGAAACATTTGATCTATAATTAGGTATGCTTACTAAAAGTATACATTTCACCTTATCA